ACCCCAACCCCCCAAAATGACCCCTCTCCCAAGGACAACTGGACGTCTGCTGACATGGCGGATTCGATACTCTGCTACGCCGCCACAGTGCTGGTGGCGCAGGCAGTGGGGGGCGGCCCAGAGTCAAAGGTGTGCGCGCTGCGGGCTGCCACAGTGGGAGTTTCGGGTCATTTGCGGTGGCGAGGGGGCGGGACGGGGCTGGTTGTGCTTTGGCCTTAAGTCCGCGGGATTTAGACGGGGCGCCGCGGAGGAATTGGAAAGGAAGTGGGAGCGTCTTCGTGGTGCTGGTGGGTAGGTGTGTCAGCGCGATCTCTGTTTGCTGAGAACGCCGGTGCGCCTGCGCCCAACGCCGGTGTGAGAGGTGGCGCCCCCCCCTCACCCCTCCTCCATTACCCCGTCTTGCCTCGCCACACCGCAGTCCATCATGGACGCCCTGCGGGCTGACCCCCGTTTGGCCCACCAGTTCCTGCTGCTGGCCCACCTCTACGCGCGATCAGACGGCTGGGCACTCGCATGGCTGCGCACCGCGCTGCTGCGGCCAAGGTGGGCGGCGGCGCAAGGGGCTCGGGGCGCGCGCACAGCCCCGCATGCGAGACCGCACGCGCGGCGCCGCTCCCGGTGGCTTCCACCAGCCGCGGGCGGGGTTCGCGCCCGTGGCGCGCGGGGGTTGCATCGGGGAGAGCATCACCTGACACCGAGACGACGGTCTGCTGGGCGGGGCTGCGTCGTCCCAACCAGGCTCCCTGACGCCGCATCAGCTGTCGCCCGGCCGTCCGCCGTGGCCGCCCGGCCGCCAGGCTGCCAGGCTGCCAGGCCGCCTCGCGCCCCCCATCCCTGCCCAGCTCGCACGCCGCCATGACAGCAGCGCCTCGACCCCACCCCGACCTCACCACGCTGCGCCACGCTTCCTGCCTCGGACCCACCTCCGCCCTGTCAACCCCCACCACACGCCCCCGCGCCGCCCCCGCGTGACGCAGTTACTCTCCCGCGCAGCTGACCGCGGCCGTCGCGGGCGGCGTGGCGGCCACGGCGGCGGGCGCGGCGGTTGCGCGGGACCCGCGGGTGGCTGATGCGGTGATGGCGCCGCTGGATGCTGCCTGGGATTACGTGAGTGGCTGTGGGGGCAGGTGTGATATCTCTGGGTGCACATGTGTGCGTGCGTGCATGTGTGTGTAGGTGTGTGCGAGTGCGTGCCTTGTGTGAGCGTGTGTGTGCAATTCGTGTGCTCATGCATGCGTTGCACGCCCAAAGCAACGATCCGCACACCAACACAACTGCCCGTCACCCCGCACGCACACCGCCGCAGGCCGAGACAGCGCTGCCGCCGCTGCGCACCCACCCAAAGCTGGTGGCGGCGCTGCTGGGCACGCTGGCGCTCGGCGGCGTGTGGGCCTACAGGTGGGCAATGGCTGCGATGTGATTTGCACACTACTGTTTTTGCCAAATTCGACTGTCATATACGTTGGACGATGATTAGCAGTTCAATGACACTTCACCCCTCGCGGAAGATTGAGAGGGCCTTCACGCGCACGCGGCTGCGGCAGGTCTGCTGCATTGCACCCGCCACTCCCCCCTGGAGCGTCTTTTAGGAACCTCCGACCCTTTGCCTCGCTTCCGCCGCACGCTCTTGCGGCCCCCCCAGGCGCTCGGCGGCGGCGGCGTCGCTGGCGCGCGCGGCGGAGGTGCAGGCGGGGGTGCGCGTCAACCGGCCGCAGCCGACGCATGTGGTGGCGTCGCTGCTGGACTCCCTGTTCAGCCGGCAGGTGCGCGTGTGTGTAATGTTTGAATGTGTTTGTATGTTGGTGTGTGTGTGTGTTGATGTGCAAATGTTGTGAGCGTGTTGTGTGTGTGATGTGCGTGTGTGTGTATCTTGTGTGTGTTGTGTTTTTGCAAGTTGTTGTGTTTGTGTGTATGACGCGTGCGTGTTTGTGTACTTTGAGTGTGTGTGTGTGTGTGTGTGTGTACTTTGAGCGTGTGTGTGTGTGTGTGTGCACGTGTGCACGCGCCCCCCGTGTCGTGTATGGTCAGACTCTCAGCGACAATGTGTGTTTGTGTGTGTGCGTGTGTGTGTTTGGGGGAGGGGCTGACTTATTGTATTGGGTTCAGGTCGCCAAAGGTACAGGGGAGGGGAAGGGCGGGGTTTGCTTCGTCTCTTGCTGGGACGCCTGCACTGTCCCGGGTTGTGTTTTCACAGGAGCATGCTGGGTTGCAATAGGCTGGGTGGCCGCCTCATCAGCCTGCTGAGAGGTGGAACCCGCCCACCACAGGCAGCAGGTTGGCCGGGCCGCACACGCGGGGCGGTGCAGGGGCAAGGGGCCAAGAGTTGCTGGCGGACCGTTTCAATGGCCGCACAGCCTGGGCTGGGGTCGTGCGCATTCTGGCAAAGGCGCACCGCGTATCCAGGCCTTGCGCAACGCCGCAGCCGGGCGAGCGCGCCCAGCCCCGTGCAGGTTACGCGGGCTGCGCG